AAAGCGAATTCTATTCCTTAGGGTTAGCCTCTACACAAAAGCCCCTCCACTGTAGTCAAGGCCAGTCCTCATAGCCAGTCAGCCCGAGGGTCTGTCCTTCCCATTGATGAGCAAACAGTAACCAAGGCTCAACTATAACTGGAGGACATTCACAACCCATATAGAGGACACACCTGGAGCACCTAGCTCAGGTGACCAGGGAGACAGTGCCACTGGGCATAAGACCCCCACTACATAAGGATACTCTACTAAGACTGGGAAACATAGCAGCCCTGCCTAATACATAGAAGCAAACACAGGGAGGCAGCCATAATGGGGAGACAAAAAACAAACAAACAAATAAACAAACAAAAACCAAAAAAAAACCATGGCCCAAATGAAAGAACAAAGCTCCAGAAAAAAAAAAACTCAAGAAAATGGAGACAAAACATTGGTTATAAAGATGAATAGTGAACTTAGGGGAAGAGTAGATGAACTCAGTGAGAACTTTAACAAAGAGATACAAAACAAAAAGAACCAGTCAGACATGAAGAATACAATAACTGAAATGAAGTATTCTATTACAAATCTGTATATAGTATTCATTAGAGGGAATCTAGTAGAAAAGGCCGAAGTTTGAATCAGCGATTTAGAAGATAAGGTAGCAGAAAACACCCAATCAGAACAGCAACAAGAAAAAAGAATCCAAAAAAAAAAAAATAGTTTAAGGGGCTTCTGGGACAACATCAAGCATACCAACATTTGTATCATAGGAATATCAGAAGGTGAAGAGAAGAAGAAATTGAAAAACTGTTTGAGAAATAATGACAGAAAACTTCCCTAACCTGGTGAAGGGAATAGACATACAAGCCCAGGAAAGCACAGAAAGTCCCAAAGATGAACCCAAAGAGGCCCACACCAAGACACATCATAATTAAAATGTCAAAGGTTAAAGACAAAGAAAATCTTAAAAGCAGCAAGAGAAAAGTAATTAGTTATCCACAAGGGAGTTCCTATAAGAGTGTCAGCTGATTTCTCAACAGAAACTTTGCAGGCCAGAAGGGATTGGCATGAAATATTCAAAATGATGAAAAGCAAAGACCTACAACCAGAATTACTGTACCCAGTAAAGCTATCATTTAGAATTGAAGGACAGATAAAGAACTTCCCAAACAAGAAAAGCTAAAGGAGTTTGTCACTACCAAACCAGTATTATAAGAAAGGTTAAAAGGGACTTCTTTAAGAAGAAGGAAGAAAATTACAAATAATAAAATGGCAATAATTATATATCTATCAATAATTTAAATGTAAATGGATTATATGCTCCAATCAAAAGATAAGGTGGATGAATGGATAGGAAAACAAGATCCTTAGATATGCTGCCTACAAGACCCTTAACTATGCTGAGACTCACCTCAGATCTAAAGATACACACAGACTGAAGGTGAAGGGATAGAAAAAATATTTTACAAAAATGGAAACAAACAAAAAAAAACTAGGGTACCATACTTATACCAGACAAAATAGACTTTAAAACAAAGGCTATAAGAAGAAACAAAGAAGGACCCAGTAATCCCACTTCTGGGAATTTATCCCTACTTCTAAGGGACATGTGAATCTATATGTTCATTGAAGCATTATTTACAATAGTGTAGATATGAAGGATATCTGGGTGTTCATCTGTGGATGAATGTTTAAAAAAGAGGTGGTACATGTATACAATAGAATATTGCTCAGCCGTAAAAAGAAAAAAATGAAATCTTGCCATCTGCACGATTTTTTCCTAGGTCCAACATGAGTGGACCTAGAGGACATTGTGCTGAGTGGAGTAAGTCAGACAGAGAAAGACAAATGCCATATAATTTCACTTACATGTGAAATTACAGAGAACATTGATGGTTGCCAGATGGATAGGTGAAAAGGGGGCAAAAAGGGGAAAGGGATTAAGAAGTACAAATTGGTAGTTACAAAATTGTTATGAGGATATAAAGTATAGCATAAGGAATATAGTCAATAATATTGTAATAACTAGGATGTCAGATTTGTACTAGATTTATCAGGCTGATCAGTTTGTAATTAATATAAATGTCTAATCACTATATTGTACACCTGAAACTAATATAATATCATATGCCAACAGCAGTTAAAAAGTTAAAAAATTATTTAAAAAATAAAAAATAAATTTTAACCTATACCATGTACAGTAGATTCAGAAACATCAAATATGCAGGAATAAATCTATCAAAATAGTCTAAGACCTCTCCACACAAAACTACAAAACATTGAAAAAGTAAAGAGGATCTAAATAAATGAAGGGATATCCAGTGTTCATGGATTAAAAGATTGAATATTGTAAATGTCAGTTATCCCGAAATTTATCTATAGATCCAGTGCCATCACAAGAGTAATCCTAGGAGTGTGCTAGTATGTGTATATGTGTAAATTTATGTGGAGAGACAAGAATAGCCATCTTGAAAAAAAAGCTGGAGAACTTAAACTACTAAATACCAAGACTCTTAAAAAGCTATAGTAATTAAGACAATGTAGGATTATTGCTAAACAGACAGACAGACAAGCAGACCAATGGAACAGAGGCCAGAAACAGATTCACAGATACACAGTCATTTAATTTATGGCAGATCACTCACTGTCTTCAAGCCTCACTTTCCTCATCTATAAAATAGACTTAATAATAGTGACTACCACATAAGGTTTAAATATTATATATCTAAAGGATCTTGATATTAAAGAGGCTAGCATATATACAAGGTACATGGCAAATGCCTGATAAAATTTAGCTAATATTAATGTTACCCCTGTGACTAGCACTATTATTATTACTACGATTACCACTATTATTATTATTACCATTCTTATTTTTTTTCATATGATCATCTAAAAATGGGGAACGGGTGGACATTAAATCCTGGTTGGCAACAAGGAGTGTTTAGGGCAACAAAAGAGCAGGAAAGTGTCAATTCTTAGCCTACCTGGGAGCAGAGAGAGAAACTTCATGATTTAGTCAAGACTGACTTAGAAACTAGAAGGGAACTTGGCTTAGCACAGGTATATCGTGTACACACAACTGTGAGATGCCAGTAAACATATTAACATCTAAACATCTAAAATGGACTTGTGCATATATGTGTTCGTATGAATATTTTAGAGCCTATGTATATACATAAGCCATTTGTAAAAACACCGTAGAATTGAAGTCAGTTACCTCTTCTCCCACCTGAATCAAGCTAGGAATTGGTGAGAGAAGTTTAAACAGAATATTAAAAGGTTTGTTTCCACAACTTTGAATGAAAAGTTTATTTCACAGCATCTTTAGGTGAACCTGGAAGTTCATTTCGTAATATAGGTCACAGATGATAATTTATTTCATTTTTCTCCATATTCATATTCATATCCTAAAATAATGCCTCGTATTTCATAAAGTGGGTTGCTGCTCTAAGGCATCGTGTGTTATTTAACTGAAAGCTTACCTATTATTATAGCTATTTAGTATCTTCGACCCTCCCATAGCCCAGCCCACGTGCCGTTTGCATCCTGTCTTCTTCTCCCACTGACCCATCCATACCTCGTTTCACTCATGGGACGGAACACTCTTAAGATCTTCCACCGCTTTCGAACCCTTCACCTAGCTAGGACAGGATTGCATTCACCAGATCTGAATTCAGTTTCTCACTCTACTATTTCTATTTGGATGACTTAAGATAAGATTATTTACCCACTGAGTTTCATCTGCAACAAGATTCCAGTGATGAAACAATGAAAGTAAAACTCAGCACAGTGTTTTCAACTAAGTAAGGGATGACGGTGTTGATGGTGGTGGTGGTGGTGGTTATTATTATTGCTTAAGATCCTACAGCCAGGAGGCTCATATTTAAGTTTTTTGTTTCTTAATTTAATATGCTTTTTTACCATGCTGCCTGTAATTTGGCAAATTAGATGATATGATTTGGTGCCCAATCTTCTCGGCTAGTCTAGACTTGGTTGGGACCCTGCCCACCGCATTTCTGTATTCAGTGCAGAGGCACCAGCTGGGGACACCACCCCACCCCTATGCTGGCTCTTCTCTCATGTACTTGGTCACTGAAAAAACCTCTTGGTGGGGCCCCTCCCTGGGGAGGGGAGAGGAGGAATGGTGCCCTCTCACCCCTGGGGGTGCTGCTGATGCGTGCCTGGCATGGAAGTGTGCCTGCCTCGTCTTACAGAGGGTGTGTGATTCTGCCTGCCTGTGAACAGCCTGGATGTAGTCTATTCCTTTCCCAGAGATAACTTAGTTTGCAAGATCAAGTAAGGAACAGTTGACTTCTGCTGCTTCCTCTTCCTGCAGTTCACCCTGCCTGTACCTCACTGTCAGGTAGAAATCTGGACTTCCTTGAAGTCCAACCCTTCAGCTGAAAAGCGTGTATTTTGGGATACCTTCCATCTATAAGCTCACTGTGCACAAAGCCTGTCAGAATTTCCCGAACACATATTTCCTACCTTTCTCCGAATTTCTTAAGAGTCTCACCAGAGAGACTCTTTATTCCTTTGGTCTCTATCAGCAATTCTAGTCTTTGTCAGGTCTTTGTTTTAGATAGATATATCTTCCGAGCTGATCGTAATCTGAGAGAGAAGCTCTTGCCTCTTCTTTCCAGATCTGCATGTTACTGAAAAAATGCTGGTTGACAAGACTTACTGGGGTAAAACTGACTGTGACAGCTTATCAGGAAAAAGGCTCCTCTAGTTAAAATTTCTGCAGTGCCTTCTGTCCCGGGTCCTCTACAAATAAATAACTGTCTGAGTTTTCAGTGAGTGGCTCTGAAATGTTATGTTGGAGACATGCTCCCTTATTCCTGTGGGATACTTCTGTCTACCCAGCCACTTGTCTGATCCATAGCAGAAAAGGATGCAGTGCTGGCTGGGACGGGTTGTAGGTGGGGTCCCTCAAGTCAGGAAGAACAAGAAGCTGAATTGCCAAAAGAAATTTTATCATCCTAATAAAATGAAGCACATGATTTGCATTCCAGGTCCTTCAACTATTCTATGGGAACCCGGGCATTTTCCCATGACAGTATTTTTATCCCTGATGGGGGAGCAGAAAGTGAGCAGACAGTTCAAGCAATGTCACAGGACCACATCCTGGGCAAAGTCAAAACTCTTCAGGTAAGACAGCTTGAGATTGGAAAGTTAGAGCTGTAGGAGGGGGCCTGGCTATGAAGGGAAGTGGGAAAAAGCCCAGCTTGGCCTTGAGTAATGGATTGGGAGGTCCAGGGGTAGCTCCTGGGGAGATATTTTGCTGTCCTGAACCTGAGTAAGCCTCTGTCCACCTGTGAGAGTCACACTGTCACCATCGTACCCACCTTCATAACACCCCCTCTCCTTTCCTGTCAAATTGTTCCCTCATTTTAAGTGGACATCATGAGGACAAGTACCCAAAAGAAGCAACGTGACTTGGATGGGAGGAAAGAGTCCTTAACCATTAGCACTGGCCACAATCCCCCAAGTACAGGGGTGACTGTCAGCTGAGGGTTTGCACAGCAAGTGTTCACTTTCCAAGTCTCTGTACTCGGACAGTGAATGGTGAGACTCTCATTCTGTTGTTTATAAATCTGGCTCCTTTGGAACTGCCTTGTCTCAGAGAAATACCACAAAGCTCTTAAACCTGACCACTGTTCACACTGCAGAGTTGGGCAGTTTTCCTACATAAAATTGAGTCAGGCGGTAACTCCTTAGTGATAAGAATCCAGTTGATCCTTGATCAACATAGGTTTGAACTGCATGGGTCCACTTACACTCAGATTTTTTTTCTAAAAATTACTGTAAATGTATTTTATGATTTTCTTAATAACGTTTCTTTTCTCTAGGTTACTTTATTGTAAAAAATCAGTATATAATACATATAACATACAAAACATGTGCTAATTGACTGTTTATATTGCTGGTAAGCCTCCCCGTCAACAATAGTCTATTAGTAGTTGAGTTATATGTGGATTTTTCAACTGCATTGTTAAGAGTCAACTGTATAATAATTCTCTGCTAAATGTGATTGAAATAATAAGGAATCCAGGAAACTCAGGGGAGGAAGGACACCTGGAATCTGACTGTGTAGATTTGCCTGATTGCTTGGTAGAATCACTCGCCTGGCAGAAGTGCCTAAGCAGGTTCTTCTCTGAGGTGGAGGTGCTTGGGGATGATCCAGAGTGTGAACGGGAGCCTCCGTTGGGCTGGTTTCCACCTATCTGTCTGTAAGTCTGAAACAATGAATGAATGAGTTGAATGAATGAGCAAAAAAAAAGAAAGAAAGAAAGAAAAAGGAACAGCTGGTTTGAGTAGTTACTGACAAGAAGCCTTGTATTCCAAGAAAATTTTCTATTTTCTTGAAATGTTCTTGTTTCTGCTGAACATTTGCTACATAATGTTTCTATGAACATTAGCTTTCGTGATCAGTGTTTGGTCACATATTCCATACACACACTCAGCTGCATATAGCAGATGGCAATCGAGGAAATAACCAACACCCTGGAACCACACCCAAACTTTCCTAGATCTTTATACCCGCTGTCGCCAGTGCCTAAGGCCATAGTCCTGCCCTCAGAGCTAACTTAGGCACTTCCTTCAAATTCCAGCATTTCCTAACCAGGTTGCATTCTTGGTTCTTGCTGGCTGTGCTGTTGTTACACATTTTGTAGACTGTAAAGGAAAAAGCAAGCTGTCACTTCTCCTAGATTGAAAAAGAAGGGTGGTGGTGGCCAAAGAAAACCTTGACTATCCCCCACTCCCTTCTTTTAACTTTCTTTCCTTGAAGTCTTTTGGTTCCTGGAATATTATTCCTAAGAAGTTCTAAACTCCTGGCTCATAATACGCCTTTTCTAAGAGGAGTGACTTAAAAGATTTCAGGCCATGAAAGCACTGTATTTTATGAGGGCTTTCTAGGAGTTCTTTAAAAATTAGGTAATCGTTCATCGTATTAAACGATATCTGCTCTGTAACGTCACAGCACATGCCACGCTGCTCTAAGAAGTGGTTTTAGAGTTGTAAATGATACATAATTCTACAGTATTGAAAATATAGAAACTCAATAAGAACATGTGACTGCCTATTATTCCTATTAGCAATGAGACACGATGTTAAAGAATACGATCTCATAATTAATAAAATGTAAAACAACCAACTTACCTGAAGCAAAAATTCTATTAACACAAGAGAAATGTAAGTACAGCAGAATATCTAATTTGAGTGCTCTCTTTTGACAATATCTAATCATACAAGGTTTTCCTAATTTTGCTTCTGCTCTACGGGTTCACAAGCTTCCTTACAGCTCTACAGTTATATTTTTTAAAAATAAAAAGCTTTGCTCTTCAAGGAGGGAAATGGGGACCATTATCATAGAAAATGTGATTTTTGGAGTGACATAAGATATAACTGTATCACCCCCAAAAGACTGTGCTTTATTTTTCAGTCGACTAAGCAGTATGTTCCTGGTAAGTCGTAGAAATAGTAATCTTTATTAAATTGCATGAATGCTTTGCATTTTTCCATGACAACGTTATGCTGGTATTGATGCTTAGTAAGCAGCATAAAAGACTGCCCCCTCGTAGACTCCAGCATGGAATGAGGGTGCTTAGTAACGTCAGAAGCATGTATGTTTTTTATGTCTGAAATTGTCTTTGTGTATCTGTGTATATTTATTTTAAAAAGAGAGAGAAGTAATGGATAACACCTATCTGACAGTAAATGTCTTGGCAAACTGATTAGCCACCATTATTAAGACATTCTTTTGAAATGAGATTTCTATTGGAATGCCATTTTTTTTTTCCCCAGCCATTTTTCTCTGGCTTTAGAAACTTCCCAGTCCTTGGAAACCCACAGAACCGTGCCTGTAATGACTGCACTTGGAAAGGTTGCCCTCTAGTGGTCACATGTAGTCATCTCAGCTAAAACTGTCATATGTTGCACCTGTGGCGGTTAGTATCTCTCTACCGAGCACAGAATGATTGAATACAGCATTAATAAGCCCATGTTTTTCTGAATAAAGTGAATCTACCTCCCATGAAAATTTCTGTGGCAAATTATTGAAACTTTAAAAGAAAAAATCGTTCTTCATATAAAAATAATACATGCACATACATATTGACAACAGGACAGGTGTAGGGACAAAAACTATAGTGTCCTTTCTGAGGACTCTATACATAAAAATTAGTTGTTCCATGGACAGTAGGTAAAATAAGCTCGGCCTCTGCTGCCACCTGACTGTGTGGCCTCCGGCGAAGTCATTTAACATCTTTGACCTTCATTGTCCCCATCCGAAAAATAAGAGCATGCATGTGATGGATGATCCTAAAGGCCCCTCCAGTTCTTAAAATCTGCCACCTATACAAAGTCACTGTTCACCTGGTGTAGCACGGAGTAGCTTTGTAAGCTGACCTTGACGTTCCCTACAGCTACCCAGAGCACAGCTGAGGGAGGTGCCTGTTTATTTTAGATCAGACCAGGCTGTGAAGCATCTACCAGCTGATGATAGAACTCAGGAACACCACAGTCTAAGCCTGCAGGTAATCTTTAGAATTATAGCACACCTTTGTCAGAAAATGCTTAGTCTATTAGTCCACAGACTATTTAGCTCAGGACGGAAAACTTCCATTCTCAGTAGAGCTACTATTTCCTGCTCAGCTGGATTTCACATAAAAATGCCAAAGTGTCATATGCTTGAGGGTTTTGACACTTCATGCAGCTGTCGAGGACATAAAGAATAAATACCTGCTCTTAGCTACTTCTTTATAGAGCACATGTCTTTAAATCTGTATGCTTTTTCTTTTGCTTTTTAAAAAAATGTCTTTTTAACTATGGGAGTATCTGTAATTTGCTCAAGAAGACAGAACCTTTATTTTTCCTCCACTTTATTCTTACAGACATGGTCTGAAGAATGAAAAATCTGGGGAACTGCAAACACTGGCAGTGTGAGAGCTGCAGAATATGACATGCTTGGAATTTCCACACTATAAAAAAAGCCTCATAAATGTGGATGTGCGTTCCTCTGACATCATTCTCCAGCATTCCAAATTACAACAAAATGGCCCGATTTGAATGAATAAAATATAATCCCTTTTAGCTCACATTCCGGTCTCAACAGTAACACCATTCACAGCCACAAGCAGCATACACTCACGGCATAGGCATAACTTTCCTCTCTCCCCTATGGTTATAATTGCAGGATGTGTAAAGAGCCATGGGTATTTAAAAAAAAAAAAAAGTGGAGAGAGCGGTCGTAGTTTCTTTCTGTGTAAACTTAAGGTCAAGCTCATCTTGGCAGTCTGTTTTTTTCTTTTCTCTTTCTTTCTTTTTTGCTTATGTCAAAGTTTCTCTTATGACAATGCCTGAATAGTGGGCAGAATTGAAGTCACCAAAAAAGCCACATTTATCCCTGTATTCAATTTACACAACACCTGAGATTGCCAGCTAGGTTTTAGCAGTAACGTTTTAATTGTCAGTAAATCGCACAGAGTGTGGTGACAGCCAGTCTTCCCGTCAGCGGAAGGAGGCATTTGGAACAGGGACTGCAGAGCTCTTGCAGGTGCAAGAGCTTTGACCTCAAGAGTCTGAGGATCAGTCACTACGGCCTTGGACACTTAGTCCTGCCTAGCCTTGTTTCACTGTCTCATTTCTGACAGCTGCAGAGCATGTCTGTGAAGACAGCCCATTGTCTGGACAACGAGGCTGCAGCCCTATCCCTAACCACAGTGGCTGTCATTTCTTTGATTACCTGGGTCCTCCCCACCTCCATCCCACTTCCTCCTCCGAAACTCCCTCGTCACCAGCCTGAATTTATTTTCTGTGGAGGGAATTTAAATCAGCGGCTTTACAAAGATGCACATTGTCATTCTCAAAGGCAACAGCATGTGTTTCTTTTGCCAGGATGAACATATCTGGGACATAAATCAACCCTTTGATATGTATACACATCCCCCCTCCCTCCCTCTTTTTTTCTTTCTCACCCTTTTCCTCCTCGCTGCTCCCGCAGCCTTCAGCTGTTGCACCTGCAGTCAGTCCTGGAGCTCTTCCTGGGCCCTTGTCACTCTTCCTCTCCATGCATTTCCTCTGACCCTGCCACTTCCTCGCCACTGGTTTCTCTTTAACACTGAACCTCATTTCTTAACATTCCTCTCTCCATTTACCTGCTTTGTCCCATGGAATTTACTTCTCCTATTCTTATTCCGTCCTTTTTTCTCTCTCTCTTTTCTTTTCCACTGGTAGCCATGAGAGCCATCCCATCTTTGAATTTTATTTCAATCCAGACTGTGATTACATTTTGCCATTTTTTCTTTTTGTCTCGTAAGTATTGGGGTGGACCAATATCAGTATTCTAAAAAGGGCCCTAACAGAGTAAATATCAACATTTTAATTCTTTTTAGTGGTGGCAAAAATCCTACCTAAACAGCATTAGCGTGTTAGGCCAGGTTCTCCATGAAAGCTTGTTAAAGAAATATTCTTTTCTTTGTACATCGAAGGAATCCTTCCATTAGTCCTTCAGGGGCATTAGTAGATGGCAGAGCCTGACACAGGAGGTCTCAGCTCTTGGCCAACACTCTTAGAGAAGCAGTAACTGCTGGACAAAGTCCAGGCTGGGAGTCTCAGACACGGGAACCATTCCCACCTCTTCTGCCCAGGTGCCCATCCCTCTCCCACAGGGCAGCAGAGTGAGACAGGCCTGTGACCTTATTACACCGTGTCTTCTTGTCTAACTCCATCGGCTGCTCTAATAACCGTGGCTGCTTATTGATCTGCTTAGAGTAGATACTAACTGCCGCTTCTTGCTAAACTTGTTTTTAGAAGACACCCCTTTCCAGCTTTCTCCTCCCCGAAACCCTTTTAGGCTGCTCTAGCTGTACTTCACTGGCTGAACTCAGGCTTTCGATGTGCGTGCCTTCTCTGTGGTGCCAGGGGAGCCAGGCTCAGGCCGAAATACCAGCAGATCAAATACAAGTCTTTGTCTTTCTGTGCTCCTGACTTGGCATGCTGGGGTGCCCTGGGGGGTGTTGGGAGGGGAGTCTCGGGCTCATCTCCTTCATGTCTCTGCAGTCTCACCGTCCACCATGCAGGGTTGAGGGGCAGCTGGATGGAGGTGGGCGGAGGTGGTACCCTGGAGTTCAGAGGGAGAAGGCGCATTTTATTTGAGGGATCCTCTGCCAGGGAACTTCAGAAATGCTGCATCATGTCTTTTTTCCTGCCCCTATAAGAAGGAAGTGTGCTGTCAAATTTATAAGAACCAGTGTAGTGCAATGTAAATAGCACTAAATGTGATTTTCGAAGACCTAGATTCAAATTCCTTTGGGGCCACTCATTCCATAAGCTTGGGCCCGTCACCTCTCCCTACTGGACCTCTGACATTTTTTTGCAAAGTGAGAGGTCGGACTGTATGCTTGCTAAGGCTCTCCGCAGCTCTGTGGGATTAAAGGTTGGCCAAATTAAAGCTAAACATCAGATAATGTATTCTTTCTTTTTTCGAGGCATAAAAGGACTATGAAACCCAAGTACCTAGATCTAGAGCAGTAGTTCTCAGCCGGAAGCGATTTTATTCCCCAGGGGACATTGGGCAATATCTGGACACTTTTTTGGTTGTCTCGACTTGGGGAAGAGGGATTACTACTGGCAGCTAGTGTCCAGAGACCATTGGGCACTGCTAAACGTCTTCTAGTACACAGGACAGCTCTCTGCAACAAAGACTTATGTGGCCCAAAGTGTCAAAGGTGCTGAGGTTGAGAAACCTTGATCTAGATCAAGGCAGTAGTAGTTCGTATAATATACTCAATTCAGTCATCTCAGATTACCACCGCATACCTCTTTTCTTCCTGAATGTCCTTCATTTTCTCTACCACAACCCATTAAATATTTTGCCCTTTCTTCGGCTATTGTGTTTACTTTTTTTTTTTCATCAGAGAATATATTTCCTTTTCTAATCTGCCTTTTCTCTAATTGGAAATACTGTTTTCCTTCCTAATTTCTACTCCCTGTTTTCCTCTCCCTTCTCCCTACTCTTTTAGCTACCACTCACCAGTGGGCAGCCCCTCCTTGGCGCTTTTCTCCTGCCTACTTCTCTGCCTCTTCCCTATTTGGTGTCTTCTGTCCCCTAGTTCATAGTGGGTGGCTAGAGCAAGGCAAAGAAGAGGTCCCAGTGGAAGCACAAGATTGTTCCTATGATATCAGCATTGATAATGGAAAGACATGCTGGTCCTTGGGCCTCCTTCACCTCGTCGGTGGTACCCACTATGGCCAGAACATTGTGTTCAAGCTCAGGGCAGCGAGGAAGGCAGTCGAAGTATAAAATTCAAGGGGAATGTGTCCAAAGGGGGCTGGAGGGGTCCCTTGTCGCAGCAACCACAAGGCCACTGCTCTCCTCCAGTGGTTCCTGCATTTCATGTAACTATTTTCTATACAATTTTTATACCTTTAAAAGACTTTTTATACAAATTAATTTAGAGGTCTATCAAAATTTTTTGTCTTCACGTATATCCCCAACTTTCGGTTCAGAAACATGGTCTCTCTACTCCCTGGGAAATGATGGTATCCCCACAAAAGAGCTGACTGAGTGGAAAAGCTCATGGCTTGAAGGTACGAAAGGAAAAGAACAGAAGCTGGAAAACACATTCACTCGTTGCAGGACTGCTCTGTGGTTTGCTGGCAAGGTGTCTAGTCTAGGAAGCAGCTGTGTACGAATCTGCCTCAGTGCTGCTAGATATGCTGGGGACCCGGCTGTGCTTGCTGTAAACTGCCTCGCGGCTTCAGAACGTCTGTCTTTGGTTTCTCTCCAGCGACAGTTGGGCAAGAACATCAAGTTTGGGCAGCCACCACCCAGTGCCATTCCCATGAAGAAGGCAGACAGTGGAGAGGCTAGCTTAGAAGAGGACCTGTTCCTGACCAGTCCCATGGAAATTGTGACTCATCAGGACATCATCCTCTCAGACACTGAGAACAAAGTAAGGCTCCTCCAGGCAGTGACTTAGGTGCTAAGAAGCCCGGGAAGGGTGTGGGGGCAGGGTAAGGCTGGGAGAAGCTTCTCTGATGAGCAGCCCAGGGCTGGAGGGCACTTCCTGGGCAGGTGCCCTGGTCTGCCAATTTGGAGAAGGGGGAGGGAGAGGAGACATGCCCTTTGCACGTGCTCTGCCCAGTGTCTTGCACTTAGTCTCAGGTTGGCCCACCTCTTCTGGGAAGCCTTACCTGGCCTCACAACCAAACTGTACTCTCCTCTACGCCTTCGCTGTGCGTCCTTAGTGCTTCTTACACATCTACAGCCCATCTGTGTCTATGTCCACGTGACTGTTTTCTCTCCATCTCTAAACGCTGAGTTCTTTGAGGACAAAACTGGATCTTACACATCTCTGTCTCCTCAGGACTTAGCCAGTGATCACTTAGTAGCCCAAGTAATGATTCGTTGAATTGGATGAATTTAAAGGGAAATGAGGAAAGGCAGAACGTAACAAATGGAGCAGAGTAAAGGTTACTTGGTGTGGAAAGTTACTTTGGTCCAGCACTGTCCTATCTAAATTTGGTTTTTCAATGCTGAAAAAACCACTCTGAGCACATCCTGAAGTGTGAGTCCTTCCAGCAGCAGAAGGGACCCCCTCAGGCCTCTTATGGGAAGAGGAGGAAAAGTCCCAGCAGTAGCTAGAGTGAGGAGTTAGTTCTCCAGGTGAGGCACTGAGTCTTAACACATTCTCTGGGCCCTGCCTATCGACGTCCCTGAAATTATGTTGAGTGCCATTAAAATGAGCATGTCCCCTTTCAAGAAGCCATGCTCGTTATCAGCTAATATGTCCCAAGAATGGGAGGAAAGATGGGCGATTTGCGGAGCAAAGCGAGGAAGGAAAGAAAAGGACAGTCCCCGCCTGTTGCCCGTCTCTGCCTGAGTCCTGCCCCGATCTCTCTCGGCACCCACGCATGTGGGTAGTGGGTGGTGTGGTGGGTGAAGCAGGGGTGGGCCTACCCCTCCCACTAGAGCCAGAAATGCTCTCTGCAACCTCTCCAAAGCTCCTCATCAGCAAGGGCCATCAGCCTTAAGGCAGGGATTTCCCAAAAGTGAAGCAAGCGTCTTCACTGTTACTGGTGACTCAATATGTGCAAGGCACGGTGGCCTGAGTGTGGTGCAGAAAGCAGACTGAAGAAGGACAAGTTGCTATTACCACTCTGGAAGGGACAATAGGAGGCTTTTGTATATATTGGCAATAGAAGATAGAAAGTCTAGCAGGCCATCAGAAAGGTACGGGTGGCGCGATGTGGGCGTTCCCAAGGCAGGCGGACGCGACAGCTTTTTTCTTCTCTTTCCGTCTTTCCTGAGTCGTTTCCCCTCCTCAGCCCAGCCCTTTGCATGTGGCATTGGGGTCTTCTTTTCTTCTCACGGAGAAGAGGTCTGGCGTAGAGGTGAGAGGTTTGGCAGGTGAAGCGGGTGGAAGGCAGCTAGCAAAGTGAAAGCTCTGAGGTAGGGGTCCTGCTTCCCAGGTAAGATGGCTGTAGACAGCCCCCAGATTCTCTCAGCGACAGGCAAACACACCGCGAGGACTGAGGTTAGAGACTGCCCAGATGGGAAATGTACTGGGCTCGGGGAAGGGGGAGTGCACACTCTGAGCCTCAGGTGTCCTCGTGGGGCCTGGACGTGGGCACGGTCCCCACCGTGACTCCTGCTGGCTCTTTGAAGCCAGCGGAACCTCCGTGAGGAGGACAGGGCGGCCTTTTCCAGGCATAGCCGGTGGCTGGTTATCTGGTTATCAGAACTTCTTGTTCTGGTGTGTGACTTAAGAGCTCTCTTACTGTTCCAGTCTAGTGATACGACAAGTTCCCTGAGTCCTCTGAATCTGCCTGGAGCCAGAAGTGAGATGGAAGAGAAGGTAATATGATTTGAACTTATGTATTTAGCTTCCTTACTTTAACTTCCATTTTCCCCATTTTTGCGATCTGCTGCCTCATTTTTCCATTCATCAATTCTGCCTCATCCATTACTTTAAATTCCTTCAAAGTGCAACCGTAGTAGATATTGGGACGTCTGTTTCCATGGCAATGCAATTGCTGGACCTGAACCCTGCTCTGAAAAACAGCCACTGCCCAGCATGCCTACATTTGGAGTCCTAGGCGTTGGGAGTTTTCCTAAATGTATCACGCATTTCAAGGCACTGTTACACTGTTGAAAAAGACATTCCAGAATACCTGAAGGTACCCAAGTCTGTAAGGAAGAGTATCCTATTTAGAGATACCCAAAAAAAGAACCCAAAAAAAGGACCTTATCATTTTTCTACTTGTATGTATACTTGCTTTTTAACTTTTCTGCATGCCATCGAAGCCAAGGACTCCACCTGCAGGAGTCTAGGGAACCCCGTGGAGCCTGTGGGCACCCCTTATGTGGTGGCCAGCCCACTCTCATGAGGATTTTTCACCTGCACAGGGGCCCAGGTGTCCTCCTGGGGTCTGGCAGATCGTACAGTGAGTAGGGTACGTCCCATGGTCTTCCAAAGAAGATGGCCCAAGACAGTGCCACCGCCCAGAGAGTGAAGAGGCCTGGCTGGAATAACTAGAAATGAAACATTGCATTTAAATCTCAGCTTCTAGTGATTATCTGTGTCTTCAATCTGCCACAGTTGGCTCAAACTCCTTTGACTCGTGCATCTGTTAGTGGATGGAAATAAATGTTTAATTCATCTCTTTTCAACACTAGTTCAGAATTTGATACCTATTATAAAGATAACCATAAATAAATAAAAGCCAGGAGGCCAAAGGCTGGAATTATTTTTCCTTACTTCTGTGCTTCTTGTAATAAATTATTATTTACTGAGCATCCATCCCTTTTGCTCTTGGAGCTAGCTTGGTCCTTTAGCTTTTGTGCATAAATTGCAAGAAGGTAATTGCAAAAAGCAAAGCCGTCAGTTAAAGCCTCTGAGTGCACTTAGAGAACGAACACAGAACACAGTCTGATAGACGAACCCCCGCTTTTTCTAGCGCTGCCAGTGTCTGAGCGCTGTGGGCGCAGGCAGTAGGGCTGCGAGCGCCCCCTGCTGCACTTTGGCGTGGCGAGTGGTGTGACCTAGAGCACTTGCCTTGCTGCCTGCCAGTAGGTACCCTGTAGGTACAGGTGTGGCTTCTTCCATCTGATTCAGTGTGCTGCTGGGTTCAGGCTGAGCCACGGTCTCTCTGACCTGTTTAAATCTGTACAGTTTGTCTGAGGCTCTGGTTTTTAAGTGATTGCATCTGTATTACAGAACTGCAAGAGGTGCTGCAGGCCATCCTTGGAAGAATCGCCCTCCCTGGCGTGTGCCACATTTCTGAGTCTCCTCTTAGTTTCTCCGTGTACTCAGTGCTCTGTGACTTTGGAGTGATAGTGTTGAAACTTTTTTGCGGGTTAGAAATTTCATGCCTTAGTCATAGGTGTTATACTTTGCTGTTCCTTCATTCTTCCAACAAATATTTATTGAGCACTTGCTACTCGGGCATAAAGGGGACTGAGAATGAAGATGAAAAAGACACACTCCCTACCTCAAAGGGACTAAGGTAGGAGTGGAGATATATTCACACGGTGTTGGAGATAGTGAGAAGGCTGTTAGTTTTCGAGGTCTTTGCATGGAGTGAGCTTCTCTAGGGCTCAGCAAACTACTACTTATTTTAGTCTTTCTGGCCCATAAGGTCCAACTGTGAGCCTCTCCTTTGTTCTGCTCTTCCACTGTAGCATGGAAGTGGCCAAGGACAATGGCTGATAGGTGTGGCCTTGTGCCGGCAAAACTTTATTTACCAAACAAGCTGCAGACAGGATTCAACCTCTGGCTTTGTTTCCTCAACCCCTAAGTTAATCTGATGCCCACATTATTCAGAGTAGGAAAATTAGTCCCTGAAAGGTTAAATAACTTTTACAAGTTAATGCAAATATCATTCTCAGAACAAATAGTCAACATGCTGTTTTTTGATTCCAAATGCCGTGCTCATTTCACTGTATGAATGAGCCCGCGCTGCTCGCTGCCCTTCCGGGATCTCCTGCAGGTTGCTTTCTGATATGGACTGATTTTATATTTTAATATCCACCGTAGGTGGCTCCAGCTAAACCGTCTCGGCCAAAAAGGCACTTCTCTTCTGCTGGCACCATCGAAAGTGTTAACCTAGATGCCATCCCCCTGGCCATCGCTCGCCTGGACAACAGTGCCGCCAAGCACAAACTGTCTGTTAAGCCAAAAAACCAGAGGGTGTCAAAGAAGCACAGGCGACTTGCCGGGGTACGTGGAACCTGTCCTGGCTGGCCAGGCAGCTGCCTTTGCTTGCTGGGTACTAGTTCTGCCAAGTGGGGCGGCAGTGTGACGGACCCAGAAGGGAATGGGTCTCCCCGCACTGCGGCGTTGAGTGGGCTGCAGCGAACGAGGGTGCACAGGCTCATTTACTTCCCGTCGCCCTTTCTGATGTGTTGCCCTCGGGGTGGGGGGGCCCAAAGGCCCTTAGAGGGAAAGACTGCCTTTTGAGGGGACTCCAGACGCTGTGTTTGCTTTGCAGCAGAAAGGTGGCCTGGCCTTCCTCCGCCATGGCTTAGCCAAAGCTTCTTCGGTTTGATTAGGGTAGACATCTAAGTCAAAAGTTTCAGGGAACATAGATGAAATGTAAATATCATTTTGCCTTCATCTTTCTAGTCCTGAACTATTGGTTTTCCTGCAACTATTCATTCACATTATGAAAAAGGAATTTGAGAATGACAAAGAAAGGGGCTCGAGAGTAAACGTGAAGTCTTTTCTTCTGCCCCCACAATTTACTCTTGGTGTGACGGCCTGAGTTAGCGATCTCTGTACTTAGAATAGCCGCCCCTTCTCTTGAAATTAAGAGGGCCGCCTACACTGTGAAAAGGACAAGTAACGGTTGCCTGTGCAAAAGGAGAAGGCTAATTCTGTCTTCCTTACCAACATTAGGATCAGCCAGATGAACAGGGTGGCCTTCTGCATCAGCTGTCCCTGGACCAGAACGGACACCCTGGAGAAGACAAGCCGATTTGGCCTGAAGAGGAGCCAGAGCCGCTGGACTCTGAGGAAGAGAAGAGACGCCAAGAAGAATACTGGCGAGAACTCGAGGCCAAGTGCAAACGACAGAAGGCTGAAGCAGCCGAGAGGAGACGCCTGGAAGAACAGAGGCTCCAGGCCCTGGAGAGGAGGCTTTGGGAAGAGAGCAGAAGGCAAGAGCTCCTGGAGGAACAAGAAGAGGAAGAGGAGGGAGAGCAGAGAGACCTACAGCTAGAGGCAGAAAAGAGGCAGTGTGAAGAGGGGAGGCGGAGACTGCAAGAACAAGGTGGCCAAGGCCAAGAGCAGAGGGAGCAAGAGGAGAGAAGGCACCTGGCAGCCGAAGAGCAGAAGCGTCTGGAGGAAGAGGCTGAGCGACTGGAGAGACTCGCACAGCAGGAGGAGCTGGAGGAGCTGGAGGCGCAGAGGCGGCAGGAGGCGGAGAAGCAGCTGCTGGAGGAAGAGGAGAGGAGACTAGAGGAGCTCAGACAGCAGGAAGAGCTGGAGCAGAGGCGACAGGAGGAAGAGGATCGGCTGAAGGAGCTTAGAAGGCAGGAAGAGCTGGGGGAACAGAGACAGCGGGAGGAGGAGGCAAAGAGAAGGGAAGAGCTGAGAAAAAAGCAGGAGGAGTTTGAGGTGCAGAAGGAAGCGGGAAAGAAGCCTCAGGAAGCACCGACAGAGGAGAGTGGGCTGGAGCTGGACGACATACGGGGGCGCGTAAGGAGCCCACTTCAGGCTGACTTTGCAGAGAAACCAGAAAAACCAGAACAAGAACACCTGAAGCCCGAGAAGCAAAGAGAAAACTTTGAGGAACCAAATGTTTGTGAGAAGCAGAGCCAAGAAGCTGAGCCCTCAGGAGAGCAGCAGGAAAAGCAGGGGGATTTTCATGGGGAAGATCGTTGTGAAGGTCAGGAAAAGGGAGATGAAATTAACTTATCACCTCCCCAGAAACAAGAGGTGCAAGTGGGAGAGAGACTGGCTCCAGTGGAGAAGAAAGAAGCCGCTGCTCCAGAAAAAGACAGAAAGGTGGAGGAACTCAGGTGGCAGGAAGTGGATGAGAGGCAGACCATGCCCAGACCCTATACTTTCCAGGTGTCATCAGGAGGGAAACAAATTCTCTTCCCCAAAGTCAACCTGAGCCCAGTGACACCCATGAAAGATGCGGGACTTGCCTCTGCTTCCCATGAGCCAAAGGCCCTCAAAGCCAGCCCGGCCCCTCACGCCCTGCCCTCGTCCCTGAGCATCCCCCACACGGCCATCCTGGTCACGGGAGCACAGCTCTGCGGCCCAGCCGTCAACCTGAGCCAGATCAAGGACACGGCATGCAAGTCTCTCCTGGGTTTGGCAGAAGAAAAGAAGCACGTGGATGTTCCCGCCCTGGATAACTCACCCCGAGCCCCCGTCGATCCCCGGGCAGGCAGCGGGAAGGCCAGGCCCCCCCAGCAGTCTCCAAGCAGTGTGACTGCACTGGCCGAATGGGCTTCCATTCGGTCCAGAATCCTGAAGAACGCAGAGAGTGACCAGAACAGCAGGAGAGACCAGTCTCAGCCTGGTGAGGAGCACACTCCCAGGGGCCAATGTGATTCCCGAGGGAACCTCCGGAAGACCCCACCAGTGAATGCAAAGTTCTCTATTATGCCTGCCTGGCAGAAATTCTCAGCCGGGAGCACAGAGACCTCCAAACAGAACACAGAAGCTGAAAGCATTAGAAAAAGATTTGTGCTGGGAACCAGTGATGAGATAGCACCCCCGCCTCTGGCTGCTGATGATAATGAGCACGAGAAGGGCACAGAGAAACTGGGGGTGCACCAGGAGCCGGCGGACACCACTGAGGGATGCAAATTTGCCAAAGACCTTCCATCTTTCCTTGTTCCAAGCCTTCCTTACCCTCCGCAGAAAGCAGTGGCCCATGCAGAGCCCGTGACCACTTCAGACAGCGAGATCACCAGTGGTATGGGAAAGCCAGACCCTGCGATGCTAGGTAGGGAGGAAAAAGCCTCACCTTTTGGAATAAAGTTGAGAAGGACCAACTACTCCTTGCGCTTCCACTGTGACCAGCAGACAGAACAGAAAAAGAAGAAAAGGCACAGCAGCATAGGGGACAGTGCCAATGGGGGGCCACCTGCACCAGGGAACACACATGGGGAGAAAGAGACAGAGAGTTTGGCTCTGAAACGTGGCCCATCCCTCCCCCTGGAGAGGAAGCAAGTCCCGTCCACCTGGAAAGACTCTGCTGAAAGCCCTTCCATCCACTCTCCTGCAGCCCAGCCTGGGCCCCCACTGGCCAGCAGCCAGACCTCAACTCCAGAGCATGACAAGGCAGCAAACCGAATGCCACTGGCGCAGAAGCCAGCCCTGGCACCCAAGCCCACCAGTCAGACCCCACCATCCTCCCCACTCTGCAAACTGAGCAGGCCCTACCTGGTAGAGCTGCTGGCTCGCAGGCCAGGGAAGCCCGACCCGGAGCCCAGCGAGCCATGCGGTGGCCCCCAGCCACCCTCTCCACCATCCCCTGAGGAGAGGAAGGCCCGGAGGAGGGATGAGGAGGAAGAGATGGAAACGGAGAGGAAACCCACTTCCCCGGCTCTGTCTGCTGTCCAGCAAGAGAAGCCTCCCCAAACACCCGAGGTTGGGAGGAGAGGTACGTAGACGTAGGTCAGAAAACAGTGCCTCTGTCCTTCATGTCGTCCATGTCACAGCTAAAGCCAGAACTGCCCAAGGCTAGAAGTAGCCATTGGAGCTGGTGTTGGAGCATTTCTCTTAATTAGAGGCCGGTCGTTATTCCCAAAGGGAATGAGTCATAGCGAGGCTCTTTACTTTTATTAATCAAAAGAAACTTTTGTGGCTGAAAGCTTTTCTGAAAGAAAGGATTTCCTGAGCCACATTCCACCAGAGAAAGGACCGGGTCCCAGGCACGCAGCCTGAACCACCAGCAGCAGGGCTAGGAGGAGACAGACATGTTCACTGTCAGGTTTTTTTATACGATGGGTTTGGGGAAGAAAGGTGTAAGTTGTTTTGAAAGAACTTACATTAGCTACAGGCAGAGACGAGTGGGAAAAGATGACAGTTTGGGGGCAGGCGTACAGTCCACAAGGAAGGAGTATTTGCTACTTTTGGATCGACTGTGGGCAACAGCTGGAAAGTTCACATGTACACAAGATGCTTTTGGATCTGATGGCCAGCTGTTCCCTCTAGTTAAAAGCTGAAATAGCCACCTGGAAATTGATCCAACATTTTAGTGTACGTTCAGGAATGTAAGCAGTCTTGTTTCTGCCAACAGCTGTTAACTGGTTAATCTCCCTTGTCTCTCTCCCCGACTCTCCAGTCAGTTGTAATTTAATTTAGGACACCTCAAAATTTTTCTCTTGTCACTTTTCTACTGTTCTTTATCATTTTGGAAATACAGACTGACTCTGCTCTGTGTCTGCAACTCACATATTAATGAAATAAGTTAAAGCTAGCACAGACTAATGTGCTTTCAGTTGACAATGGAAGTAAAATCTGATCCGAATTAATTAAGGTGTCCTTGATCATGGTGAGGGGCCGCGCAGTGATGGTGAAGACTGGAATTTCCTAGACCAGTGACTGTTCTGTCTGGGCAGTAGCAGCACTACGTCGGGAGCTTGGGGGGCACTTTCAACAGTTCCACCAGCCTAAGGAACCTCTGGGGGGGTTATTGGCTTGGTCTGAGTTTTTTGCAAAATGCTCTGTAAATGCATCCTGCTGCACCAGCTTGCCACTGGGAAGCCCACCTATAAAGAAATTTTAGGGCCACCCTTACTCCTGGTCGCCCCTCATGGTTTTTTATGGTAAATGCTCGGGGCAGCTCCATGATCACTTGGAGTGGCTTTGGGGCCCCCGAGAACCCTTACCTAATCCTTTCCTTTTTCTGTTTTGCAGAGTAGGAGGTCAAGTACGGGTCATAGCCCAGGAAGTAAATCACATTTCTCAGAGAAATTCTCCCCTGAAATGTTTTAGGGAGAGATCGTTTTTATTTCTTGTTTAACTGTTTAGATTTGAGGTGATTTGTGCAGAGAAAAGAGCTGTGTCCCAAGGAGTACAGGTGTGGTCACTCACCTTGCGGTAGACCCCGTCATCCTCTTTCACCAAGCCTTGCCTGGTTTCCGGAGTGTCGATCAGCAGCTTCAAGATAATTTCTCCCTAACGGTTTCTGTTTACCCTGCCGACAAGAAGCCCATTTTCAGTTTTTTGCTTTTTCCTTTAACCTCTGTGCTGGGCCCTAGGGAGATAGCCACAGTGCGTCCCTGTGAGCAGGTCATTTAGTTCCCTATAACCTTGTAGGTCTTGTGGACGCCAGTCCCATTGGCTTTCAGAGCTCAGTGTTTAGGGGGCCTGACTCTCAGGTGGCAGTTTAAAAGTTGGAGTGCCAGGTGTGGGGTCCAACCTCTTCACTCCTCAAGGAGAACCTGGGAGTTGAGTTCCTTCCCAGTTGTGGGTTGCCACGCTGGGGTTGGGGATTGTGTCTCAGCCTCTCCTACCTGTTTTGATGTGGGTTTTTCTGGCCACCTGGTGGGTGGGAGTCACTCAGATAGTTTCTGGATTTCTTTCACAGAGACTTGTTCTTTATGTATCTGTAGACCGTATTTCTGTGGGAGGAGGGGAATTCAGGATCCTATGTCACCCTCTTGAACCGAAATCCCCATTTCTAGTTTTGACATTAGCTTTTGAGTCGTTAGCTTTCATGGTGTCATCAAAGTTCTTCTCACATCCTGTCCTGCTCTAGCACACACATCTTCTCCCCAAAGGAATAACGCTCTGCTTTTCTTTGTTCTCTTAGAGATGTCCCTTTTGATTATTATAACCTTCCGCCAATCTCAGTATCCAGATTCTAGGCTCTCAGACTTGAATTTTTCTTTATTTGGTAGAAAAGAAACGTGAGAATAAGGACCACGTGCTTTGTGGGTGGTTGCTGCCTAAAGACCGTGGGATTTTCCTGTCTGACTCTAGACCAGGGCTGACCAAGTCTGTGTGACTGAATACCCCATCAGAATAAGGATGCCTGGACATCCGGTTCACTTGTTAATTCTGTGCATGTGGCGCCATCATTAGCTAAAACCTCTGTAGCACCATATACACTTGGAGTGAACTTCAGTGAAGCATCAGTGAATGTAAATCTGCATTGTAAATCGTGGTGCTACTTTTATTTTCTTTGGCCAACTTCTTGTCAGATCTGATTACTTCATAAAGCAGCAGGCAAAGAACTCCTCAGCTCTCCTATGTTCTTATGCTTGCTTTATTAGTAGCATATTAAATCTGTGGTTTGTTTGTAATCATTTCTGCCATTCGTCCACTTCATAAGGGGTCATTTAGTTCATAAGCTCATCTAACCGCAGAACTCCATGATATGCTGAAAGCGAAGCAAGTGAAGACAAACTTGCTGGTTCTCCCCCACCCCCGCTCCCCCCATCACATTGCAGTGCTCCCAGCTTCCCCTGGGAGTCTTTAAACATCACATTTGTTATACCTGGCCTTCTAATCTATGGTCCCTGGGCTGAGTGAGGATGTCAGCACCAGAGTATTAAATATTAGAAAAACTCAATTTCGATTTTATTTTTAGATTTAAAGATATACAAATAGAAATTCCAATCTTTTCTCTCTTCACCCCCAATAAATTGCTTTGCATATCCCCTAGGGTGCTTGCACCCTTTTTTTTAGGGGCAGAGGGAGAACACTGCTTTAGCAAGAGGTGTCCGTTTGTGAGGCTGAGGCTAGCAAGGACCAGTACATAGGCCGAGCGACTGGGAGGGTGTTGATTCTGAACCCACCCTGGTGGGGATTAAAATGACAGTGATAATCCCCCTGTGTTTCTCTAACACTTTGATTACAGATACCATCAGATATCACCTCATTCTGAGATTCCCAGAACAGATAGCAAGTGGCCCTTTCTCTAAGAACTGACCTTGGAGAGCAGTGATTAGAACCCTATAATGCCAGGAGGCACCTGCTTGTCTCCCCAGAACCTGAAGGAGGGAACTTGAATGAACTGAGCTGCTACTTGTCTACTGAGTTTAGAATGAGAGAGCATAGGTTTAAACATTGCAGCAAAATAAATTTTTAATTGAATATTTTGAATCCCCTCCCCCCTCCAAAAAAAAGATTATGTGATTAACAAAGAACATCTATGTCTTTAAAAATCTTGAGTGAAATGAGGGATTTTACTGTTTTGGAAAATTTCAACAACAGCCGTTCTTTGTGCTTGCTCATTTATAAAGTGCTTTCATTTGCACCGTCTCGTTCACACAGCACACATAGAGGTTAGGTGGGTAGTCTTGGCTCCATTTTCCAAATGAAGACACCAGCATCTGAGAAGTTAGGTGACTTTTGCCTTCTCCCCACAGTGGTAGAGCCAGGACGAGGATGAGTTCTGTCCCAGATTAAATGATCTCCCTGTTACCCTAAGACTGCCTCCAGTAATTCTCAGCTGGCATTTGTAAAATGCTTAAATTAAGCCTTTAAAAACACTTTTACATTAATGTCCTCATTACTTCTTGGACCGATTGACCTTAATCATGTATTTGTTCAAAAAATATTGTTCAGAAACTCCATAGGATTTAGCAAAGCCTTATCTCCTTTTTCTTGTGGTTCCTTTAAACCTGATCTGTGATTCTCATTTTCCCCCCATCTCTTGGATAATATTGTTAGCATAGTTCTTTCAATCACTTTAAAAGACAATTTTTATTGACGTAAGGATGCATAACATAACATTTACCATCTGAACTATTTCTAAGTATACAGTTCAGTAGTGTTAAGCATATTCACATTATCACACACCCGATCTCTAGAACTTTTCCGTCTTGCAAGATTGAAACTGTACTCATTAAACAACTCCCCTTCCCCAGCCCCTGGCAACCACTATTCTGCTTTCTGTTTCTATGAACCCGACTACTCTAGATAAATCATATAAATGGAATCATGGAGTATTTGTCTTTTTTTGTCTCTGACTTATTTCACTTGGTATAACGTCCTCAAGATTCATCCATGTTATAGCATGTGACAGGATTTCTTTTTTAAGGCTGAATAACATTCCCTTGTGTGCATATACCATATTTTGTTTATCCATTCATCTGTTGATGGACATGGGTTCATTCTACCTCTTGGCTATTGTGAACAGTGCTGCTGTGAATATGGTTATCTCTTCAAGATCTTGCTTTCACTTGTTTTTGAGTAAATACCCAGAATTGGAATTGTTGAGTCTTATGGTAGTTCTATTTTTAATTTTTTGAGGGACCACCCTACTGTTTTCCACAGCAGCTGCACCATTTTACATTTGCACCAACAGTGTGCAGAATTCTAATTTTACCACATCCTCACCAACACACATGTTTTCTTTTTTTAAATGGTAGCCATCTTAATGGGTATGAGGCGGTATCTCACCATGGTTTTGATTTGCATTTGCCTAGTGGTTAGCGATGCTGAGCATCTTTTCATGTGCTTATTGGTCGTTGATATGTCTTCTAAGAAGAAATGTCTATTCATATCCTTTGCCCATTTTTTAATTGGGTGTTCTAGGGGGTTTTTGCTGTTGAGCTGTAGTTCTTCCTATATTTCCAATCACTTTTTGAAAATAAAAAGTCTTCTAGGCACTTTCAGTAACAACAGTCTCATGTTAGTAATTAATATGTCCCCTCCAGTGCCATAATCAAAACTCCAAACACTATTTCAAATTTAAGTGTCTCCCTCCTTATTTGGCCTGCTTCAGACTGATACGCCCGCAGTACACAAGCAGGCATGGTCGACTTCTCCCCTTTCTTCCAGCCCAGAAACAGGCCCCAGAGATGGAGTGAAGGA